ACCCAAACTTATAAAATTTCTTCCAAAATGCTAACTTCCACAATAGGCGCCAAAACGCTCCCGGGTCATCCAAAACCCGACCCGGACATACGCCCAAGTCCGAAATCATCATATGAACCTACTGGAACCTTCGAATCCTGATTCCGAGGTTGTTTACTCAAAAATCCGATCTTAGCTAATTCTTTCAACTTAAAGCTTCTTAAATGAGAACTTCCTCTCCGAGTCAACTCCGAACTTCCCGAAATTTAATTCCGACCACGCGTACAATTCAAAATACCTGAATTGAAGATGTTCATGGCCTCGAACTGCTGAACGGCGCGCTAGGGCTCAAAACGACCAGTCGGGTCATTACATCTTCCTTGGATTCCTATTGTTTACATTGGTAGTTAGCCACTGCACCTCAGCTTCCCAGTTTTCAACCTTCCTTTGGTATCTTAGCCATCCTAGCATTCCTTTCCATAAGGTTTGTGAATATGGACAATCGAAATACAAGTGATCATGTGTCTCTTCCACACAGTACACATGAATGAGCCACCTGAATTCCCTATTTTGCTAGTCTGTCAACTGTAGCCAGCCTTCTTTGTATTGCCATGCTTTCCAGTGGACTTTGGGGGTACCTTGGAGTAGCATGAAGATAAGCCTTCTTTGTAACGACTCGATCGGTCGTTTTGAGCTCTAGCGCACCGTTCAACAGTTTGAGGCCATGAGCAGCTCCATTTCAGGTATTACGACTTGTACGCATGGCCGGAATTGAATTTTGGGAAGTTCGGGGTTGATGCGTAAGGAGAATTCTCATTTCCGAAGCTTTAAGTTGAAAGAATCAACTAGGGTTGGAATTTTGAGTAAACGACCTCGGAATTGGGATTCGAAGGCTCCAGCAGGTTCGTATGATGATTTCGGACTTGGGCGTATGCTCGGATCGGGTTTTGGATGACCCGGGAGCGTTTTGGCGCCTATTGTGGAAGTTAGCCTTTTGGAAGAAATTTCATAAGATTGGGTTGAAGTGCATTTCAGTGTTATCGACGTCCTTTTGGGAATCCGAGTCTGGGAGTAGCTCCGTATGGTGACTCTGGTGTTGGGAGCGCGATCGGAAGTGAATTCGGAGGTTCGTAGGTCATTTTGGAGTCATTTGGCTAAAGATAGAAAATTGAAGGTTTTTGAGAAGTTTGACCGGAAGTGGACTTTTTGATATCGGGGTCGGAATCCGATTCCGAAAGTTGGAGTAGGTCCCGTAATGTCGAATATGACTTGTGTGCAAAATTTGAAGTCAATCGGACGTGATTTGATAGGTTTAAACATCGAAAGTAGAAGTTTGAAATTCTAAAGTTCATAAAGCTTGGATTGGAGGTTGATTCGTGGTTTTAGAGTTGTCTGATATGATTTGAGGCCTCAAGCAAGTCCGTAATGTGTTTTGGGACTGGTTGGTATGATTGGTTGGGGTCCCGGGGGCCTCGGGTGGATTTCGGGTGGTTAACGGATTGAATTCAGAGTTTGAAGAAGAGCTGAAGTGCTGGTTGCTGGTGTAACCGCACCTGCGAGATTAGGGTCGCAGGTGCGGAGCCGCAGAAGCGGCCTTATGGTCGCAGATGCGAAATTGGCGGAAGAGAGCTGGGATCACAGATGCGGTCGTTTTGCCGCAGATGCGGGACCGCATCTGCGGAAGAGAGGGCGCAGAAGCGGATTTGGACTGGGGAGCCCGAACCGCAGAAGCGGCGATTCTCGCACCTGCGGAACTGCAGAAGCGGTCAAGTGACCGCAGGTGCGGAAAGTGCTGGAGGCAGAGAGTGTTTTAAAAATCGGGATTTAGCCATTTCCTCTTTTATTTTCTTGGCTTGGGCGATTCTTGGAGGGTTCAAGGGGGGATTTTCATCATCAACGATAAGGTAAGCTATCCCCACCTATCTTGAGTTAAATATATCGAATATGTATGGATTTTAGCATGAAAATTGGTAGAAATTTGGGGGTTTGAGGAAAACCTAGAAAAATTGATATTCTTGGAATTTGACCACGATTTTGGGTATGAAATTGAGAGTAAATTATATATTTGAGTTCGTGAGGTTATGGGTAAACTTTATCTTCGAAAAATTTCAAAATCCGGGCACGTGGGCCCGAGGGTATTTTTGTCAACTTTTCGATCGGGGTTAGGAATTGTTATAAATTGGATTGTAATGAGTAATTGAGCATATATTAATGGATTTGCATAATTATTGGCTAGCTTTGGAGCGTTTAGCATCGATTCGAGTCTTCGGAAGGGCGTGGAATGCCGGTTATGGATCTTCGGAGCGAGGTGAGTCTCCTTTCTAACCTTGAAAGAGGGAATTGTCCCCATAGGTGAGTTAATTGGTTTTTTGCTCCTATTTGCGGGGGCTACGTACACACGAGGCGACGAGAGTCCGTGCGTAGTTACTATTATGCTTAAGTCCGGGTAGTCTAGGACCCAGAAGCATGCTTACTTGTAATAAATGCAACCTTGTTGACAAATTTAAAAATGCTTGAACATGTTGAACGTGTAAATGAATTTCTAATAGACTAGATATCAATTCTGACTTTTAAAAGAGAAACTTGCCTCTTTCCGAATAATTGATCCTTGATGAGTTATTGACTTGACTATTTGAATGTGTTTATCTATTGTGGAACGGGCCGAACGCCTCGGTAGATTAAATAGATGCATCTATGGTTTGCGCCATTCGACCCTCTGGCAGTGCACAGTTTAAATATTGTTGGATCGGGCCGTACGACCTCGGCATGAGTTGCGCATGCTTGTATTGCTTGCTTTGATATTTGTTGATACTAATTTCTGCTCTCCCCAACTTGAGATAATTGTTAATTAATGGATTATGGGTCCGGAGACTTTAAATAAAAAGGAACTTTCACCTGTTTAATGACTCATTTAGATTTTACTGTTGTTCTTAGTAAATCCGTGAGTCATCGCTTTAATAATATTATTACTGGACCTTTAGTAAGTGTCGAAGTTGCCATCTCGTCTCTACTTCTTCGAGATTAGGCGGGATACTTACTGAGTACACGTTGTTTTTGTACTCATACTACACTTCTGTGCATTTTTGTTGCACAGGCACACGTACTTCTAGTGGCCTACTGGGTGTAGCAACATGGATGATACTGGACTAGGTGAGCTGCATTACTCGAGGCGACCCGCAGCTAGTATAGTCTCTTTCAATGTATTGTAGTTACTTTCTGTCCATTTGTATTCCGGACGGATGATGTATTGTATTGTTTCTTAGAAATAGCTCATGCACTCGTGACTCCGGGTTCTGGGGATGTCTACGGGTTTATTCAGAATTTTTAAAAGCTGTTAAAGGTTTCATTTTCTTATTCACTGAAATTTACTATGTATAGCTTAAACGTATAAAAGGAGAGATTTCAGAAATATTTAAAACGAGAATTTAATTAAGTATTTTTGGTTGGCTTGCCTGAGAGTGGTGTCCGGCGCCATCACGACCCTTAGTGGATTTTGGGTCGTGACATTCTTAATGTTGAATCTCCATTCGGAGCAAAGGATTCAATAATTGTTATGTCATTAGCCCACCATTCTCTTGCTGTAAACAGTTTCCTTACTAGCCAACTAGCCTGCTTTGGAACCTCCATAGTATTGATGTCATTCTGCTTTATGTAATGGCAATGAATCCATATAATCCAAACTTGTCTTTCTTAGCCATTATAGCCCAGAAGAGCTTAGTCAAAGCAGCTTTGTTCCATCTCTCATAGTTAATAACGTTTAAGCCCCCAACAGCTTTTGGTTTGTACTTTGTACAATGTTTCCCATGCTATAGGAGCTTTGTGAGTATTATCATGACTGCCAGTCCACAAATAACTTCTGCAGATACCATTAACAAGTTTAATAACTTTCTTTGGAATAAGGAATACTTGAGCCCAGTAGGTCTGCATTTCAAACAAGACACTCTTAATGAGTTGTAGTCTTCCATCATAGGACAAGAACTTTGATGTCCGGCTTCTGATCCTATCCACAATCTTCTCAACTAATGGCATGCACTGGTGAATAGTAAGTTTCCTTGTGGACAAAGGAACTCCCAAGTATTTGAATGGAAGATTGCCTACTGATAGATGTAGTTCTGCTAGCATTCTGTCTTTGAACACCATAGGCACACCTGCTATATATAATGAGCTCTTTTCCAAATTTGCTTGTAGACCTGAGACCTTGGAGAAGTGATCAAAAACTCCCATCAGTAACTTCATTGATACTTCATCTGCTCTGCAACACATCAATAAGTCATCTGCAAAGCATATGTGTAGGACTTGCAATCTGGCACATTTAGGATGGAAGTTAAAGTCTGGATTCTGAATCAATGTCTTCAAAGATCTGTTTAGGTACTCCATTGCTAATACAAACAAGTATGGGGACATTGGGTCCCCTGCCTTAGCCCTTTTCTTGCTTCAAATTTATCAGTTAGTCCACCATTCAGTAGTAAAGTATAGCTGACTGTAGATACACATTTCATGTACCATCTTGTATGGTATCCCAAACTCAAGTAGTACTGCTTTCAAAAAACTCCATTCAACTGAATCATATGCTTTCCTGATGTCTACTTTGATCATACATCTAGGAGAGACTGCTTTTTGAGTGTACCCTCTAATCAATTCATGAGCCATTATAACATTGTCAAGTATATTTCTCCCTTCTATGAAAGCAGACTGAGAAGGTCCAACCAATAAATCCACAACTAGTTTAAGCCTATTTGTCAGTATCTTAGCAATAATCTTGTACATTGTTGAACAACAAGCAATAGGCCTAAACTCTTCACATAACTAGGATTTTTCACATTTGGAATCAATGTAACAGTTGTGCAGTTAATTTCTTTCAATAATCTGCCAGTTTGAAAGAATTGTTGTACTGCTCTATGACTTCCTTTCCAATGATTGGCCAATATTCTTTAAAGAATTCAACAGGTTATCCATCCATACCTAGTGCCTTGTCACTAGGCAGATTCTTCACTATCTGATACCTCCTCAGTTGTTACTGGTTATAACAGTTGTTGCAGCTGATTCAGTCTTAGACAAGGGCCTTTTCTTGCTACATTGACATCAATTCCTGGCAATTCATCTGCTGTTGTCCCCAATAATGGCTGAAAGAACTGAATGAATTCTTTTTGAATGTGTTTTGGCTCTGTGATCTTCATCTGTTGTTCATTACAGATGCAACTCACCTTATTTCTTGCTTGTCTGGCCCTCATATAAGCATGGAAATATCTGGTGTTGTCATCTCCCAGTTGGATCCATGTTGCTCTTGACTTCTGCCTCATTATTTGCTCCTGAATTGCTTCCCATTTCTCAATGCTTTCTAAAGTTTTTCTTTCTTCTTCTATCAAAAATTTGTTGAAGTAGTCATCATTAAGCTTCCACTGTATCTCGTTCAATGTTTCTCTCAATTGTATCAGCTTTTGATCAACTTAGGAATGATTCTGTTGAATATCCCTAGTTCGTTGCTTAATAAGTTTCAGCTTTCTCCATACAGAATACATTGCATATCCTTGAATCTGTTGATTCCAAGTGTTCTGGACTATTTCCTTGTACTCTCTTTGTTGCATCACTGATGTTAGTAACCTGTATGGCTTTTTCACTTTAACCTTGACCGCCTCAGTATTTATCATTATAAGGGTATGATCTGAGCTTCCTGGCAGCATGTATATTGCCTCCACCCCATTGTAGGCATTGAACCAATCAACATTCCCAAAAGCCCAATCTATGTGACTGTATATTCTGACCTCTGAATCCCTTTTACTGCTCCATGAAAATCTGCTACCTCGTTTTGTGATTTGTCCCACTCCAATATCATCATCACAGTTTTGAAATTCAATCATTTCTGTTTGATGAACTTGAATTCCATTCACCCTGTCATCCACAGTTAACACACTGTTGAAATCTCCTATTATAAGCCAAGGTCCATTAGTTTGCATGTTCAAGCTTCTCCGTTGTGGAATTATGTGTTGAACAGTGTGTAGGTCATATACAAATGTACGTAACTGGTAAATGATGAATTTTTGTCCTTCACTAGACAGTGTACCAGCTGATCAGTGCTCTCCAGAACTGTTACATGAACATTTGCTTCTTTCCACACTATCCATATTCTACCATTAGGTGCATAATTATAATTGTCTTTGAATTGCCAGTCTACACCCATCTTCCTCTGGATAGTCTTTGACCTGTGTTGTTTAACTCTAGTCTCTGACAAGCTATCATATCTACTTTATTTGTCACTCAAGATTTTAACTTTTTTTATTATTAATTCTCGATTGTTCATCTTCACTTATTATCAAATATTTTCTTTTTATTTTGAGATTTCCTCTGTACACTAAATTTTATTCAATTATTTTAGAATTTTATTTTTCACTCAAAATAAGTTTTTAAATCATTGACTCTCTGCCAGGTGGACTATTTCTATTATTCAATGTTTATACTTGTTAATTGTTGTTAACTTTTCTTGATTTCTTAGGATTTTTTTCAAATAGTCCAATGCCGATCATTTGACTGAGTAGATAACACATTCAACGGGGAAAAAGAAAATAATAGTATTTTCTAGCAAAAAGAAGTTTTCTTCTAGAATTTAGATACTGTTAATCTCATATAAAACTTATTTGCCAAAATAAAAACTTAAAAGATGAAAGAATAAAACTAAAAATATGTAAGATAAGGAACTAATGTGACAAATGGGAGCAAACTGGATGAAAAATCACTAGAGTGATCCAAAATCCTAACATGATCAACATTTATTAGTTTAAGAACTTATCTTTTCTTTTATAACTCAATCACAAATTTTAAATATTATTTAAAAAGTTTATTTTCATTAATATGTAGATTGACAATACTTTTAAGAACTTGTAATTTTTTGATAGTTTTTATTTTATATCATAAATATATATTCTAAATATACTATTTTGTATTATTTTAAAAAGTTTATCTTCATTGATATAGTTACACGCGCGACACGTATACCCTATTACTTGTTAACTAATACAAGCAAAGATAGAATGGAAGAAGTATTTGATTCTCAATATTTAACAGTAAGTCGCATCTTTTATGCGAGGTACCTTACTTTATTATTTTTTACTTATATTTCGATATGATACCTATTAATGCCCTCTCAAACCACTTTTTCCCGGTACAAAAATAAGTTCAAAATCAGACATTGTTCATAGTTCAAATTGAAAAACTTTTTTCAACCCGAACTTATAATTTCACTTCATTTATTTGGCCTAAGAATGAAAGTAGAAGGATTATATCATTTTTGCGTGTCACTCTTCTCCAACTAAAATTTTGGTTCTACGGAGTAGCGGAATCAGAATTTTTATTAAAGAGAGCTAAAATATAAACGAGTAAATATACGAAGAAATCAAAAAATTCATACAATACACATACATAATGTAATTTTCTTAACACCCTTAAACAAAGATCGTCAGCCACTAATTTCACAAGAAAGTAAAATATTTAAAGGAAGTTTATAGATGAAAACTAGAAAAACACTCAAAGTTACTTTCTTTGCTTATGGGCAAATTTTGCTACGCCGAAAAACAGAAGAAACTTCAATAAGAAGTAGCTAGGTTTTGCATTAAAGTTAAAGTAAGGATAATCTACGCGGTATGCCCATTGAAAACATCAGTTAACACTATATACAATTAATATATTTATTTTACTCTGTATACCTACTTTATAAAATTATTTTACCATGTATACCTACTGTATTCTAAAATATAATACTGTATATTCCAAATTAGAATATTGTGATATATTTAATTTGGATATTGTATTCCAAATTAGAATACTGTAGCATGTTTAGTTTGAATATTGTATTCCAAATTAAAAATTATTGTATATTTACATTGGATACTGTATTCCAAATTAAAACGTAATGAATTTTATAAATGGGTATATTATGTAACTTCTCCTTAAAGTAATTAATGTGAAAGTATCAATCCATAAACAAATGCAATTAACAAGAAAAAACCAGATTTAACTGTAATTAGCAAAGCTGTCCACTTCCACCAAACAACCAGGACCTACCTGTCAAACAAACAAGAAAATTTACGTCAATCTAACCTGCAAGACAACAACGCCGCACCGCATTCAATTCTCGATCTGCCGTCTCGACCCAAGTCCATGACAAATATTAACTGCTTTGAGCTTAAGCTCACACGAATTTTTCTTTCAGGCTACACTATAACCCTAAAAATATGCGTATCATGTAAATTTATGTTGTGCCCATAAAGCTCTTCATTTTTCTTGCCATTCCGATGTATGATACGTCGAAAATTTTATGTGATTTCCTTCTTTAAAAGTTTGCCAGCCTAGAAGCCTGCCAGTCCTGCTTGTCCTGTCCTTATCGCCTTCTGTTATAGGCGTCACATCCATAGACTAAGAATTTGCATTTTATGAGTTCCACTAGCTCAAAATCTAAGTTAAAGCTATCGAATGTATAAATTCATGATTTATACACTAAATCTGACCCTGAATCCGAGGGCATATTTATGTACATGAATCTCTGCATCTTTATTAAATCAGACTAAATTAGTTCAGTTTTTATTACAATTCAAATATCCAGAAATTACACAAAAGAAGTGCGGTAAGTTATAATATTTTCCATATATAAATAAGATAATCATAGTATAATTTTGAATTTAATAAAATTCACTATAATTTAATATCAAAAAGCGAAAAAGGGATAATTTTAGAGGTACTGAAACATTATAATGTTTGCTTTGTACTTTGAATTTTACATATCTATTCTGGGAATAGTTTAATACATCAATTAATGCACTACTATTTTATACCTAATATAACATGAATATCGAATATATCCTAGTCTTAACACAAAGAACCAAACGTTTAATTAAAAAATAGGAAATAATCACTACATACAATTATATTACCAGAAAATTACACGACATGTCTCAATAGACTGATCTTGGTGGAATGTTTAGTTTTTGACGATTTGATCAAAATAACTCCGTTTTTCACTTAAACTACATAGTTCTTTTATATTTAAAGTTTGAAATTCTTATTTCATGGTGTAAAGTTGAAAGTTAATGATTCATTATTATTAAAATCTTTTCAATATTCATCATTTATGCTTAAATTTTTAGTTTAAAGATCAATTTAGTGATTTACTGTAAAAAGCTCAAAACTTTATTGTTGGACCATAAAATGTAGAAGAAGACAAAGTGGATCTTTTTGATTTGGTATTATAACTAAATTAGTAATTGAGAATTATTTTTGTTGGTATTTGAAATTTTTTTAAAAAAAAAAATTTGAGATCATTCGAAGCAGATTTGGACTGTTTGATCGAAATTGAAGTTGCAAATTCGAAGAATACATTATTAAAATAATACAAAAATTTATGCAAACCGGGTAGACTTCAATGAATAACTTAACAGATAGGTAAAGTGAATATAACATAAACTCAACCAATTTGATAGATAAAATCTTTAAAAAACAAAGTCATATTAATGTGGTAGACATTGATGAACAACTTAACAAATATGTAGAGTGAATATAATATAAACTCTACTAATCCAATTGAAAACACGGAAGATAATTGTGTATGGGTCTGGGCGCTATTTTTTAAATATCACTAATTTTAGAGACATTAGGCTAAGATCAGCATCTTACGGGCCTTTCTTGCCAATCACCCTAATATTACTAATCTCTATATTAAACGTGAAAATAGCTCGGCTAGCCACTTTTTGGACCGGTAATCAAAAAATAGTCAGTGTTTGCAAATTTATTGAAAAATAGCTACTGATTTGCGAAAACACGAAAAGTTCTAATATAATATGCGGGATTATGGAGCTCCTGCATATAAACTTTCCGCATAATATGTTGGAATTCAAGCACATTATGCCGGAATATTTTGGAATTTTTAAAGGTATTTTTGTTTAAATTTTATATTTACATAAAATAACTAAATTTCGGTTATCTTGGAAACTAAGTTTTTTCCATATTAAACTCCCTGTTTTGGTTTCAAAACCAAACGACCCCTAATTTCGCTTTTTCCCATTTGTTAACAGTTAGCGGTCACAGATATTTCTCACTGTTTTCGTGTGTTTCCTCTCTGTTTTCTCATTTCTGTACGTTCCTTGAGGAGGCTTCTCTCTCTCTAACACATCCTCCTCCTCTCGGAACTTCATTCTCTCTCTCTTTCTCTCTCTACATTTTCTCTCTTAACAGCCATGTCTTCCGATAACTTCACCGACAAAAACGCCGTTTTTCGCAAGCTCAAGGCCAAGCCCGACAACAAGGTTTAAATCTTAATTCATCGATTTTTTTTTTGGTTTGATCGAAAATTTATCTTATTTGAATTTTTATCTATTTTTTCGTTTGAAGCGATTGAAAACTGTGAGATCTGATTTAGATCTAGTGTTTTTGCTGAGTAAATTGTAGTTTCTGAGCGATCTAAGTCGGCTTTTGCCTTTTTATTTTTTTTTTATTTTATCAGATGTGTTTTGATTGCAATGCGAAGAATCCTACGTGGGCGTCGGTTACGTATGGGATCTTCTTGTGTATTGATTGTTCGGCGACACATCGTAGCCTTGGTGTTCACATCAGTTTTGTTAGGTATGTTTTAAAGTTTGATTTTTTACTCTTATTTTTGTTTCTGGATTCGTGAGCTGATTTTTAGCTTGATAATTTGTTTTCATGGTGACATATGAGTGGATTTTGTTCGTAGGAGTTGTATAAGGCATGATTTTTAGGTTTTATAAAAATATGGAAAAAATGATTAGAAATATTGAAATCATTAGAATCAACAGGTTAGAAGCCGTGACTTCTTCCTTATAAATAAGTGGCTGATTTAAAATGTGGACTGAGGTACGTTCGGATCCGCTGTCTTGAGCATGGGCAGATGTACAGTTCGGGGAAGAAGCAGAGCCAGGATTTGAAATTTATGGGTTCAGTATTCTGATTCTTTTAAGTTACTGAAATCTAAATTAGCAATTTATACATAATTCAATAATTTTTTAAGACAAATGAAGGGTTTGGACAAAAGTTACCGGGTTCAACCGAACCCGTACTCAAAGGGCTAGCTCCGCCCTGGTTCGGTGTACGGGTGTGGTAAGAACTCAGAAGTTTTGGCCCAAGCCATGTATGTTTCCTAAGAAATCCACTTAATATGAATAAATTATTAATTTA